CTGGGGCCCCAGCTCTGCGCTCTCACCATCCCACTTTCCCGATCCCAGCCCTGGGCCCAGCCCTGCCTGCCCCACTCCCAGATGCTGTTCCCCACCTACCAGTGGCCCCATCCCATCTGCCAAGTCATGCACACTGCCTGCATGTCCATGGAGACTCTGGCCGCTGCACCACCCCAGCCCCACTGCATGCCCAGAGGCAGCAGAACTGGCCACATGCCACAGCCCGGGCTGCAACCTGCCACCTGGGCTGGGCAGGACCAGGGACCTGCCATGGCCAGACAAAATGTCTTGGTGGAGAGATTTGGCCTGCAGGCCATATTTTGCCCACCTTTGAGCTAGACTATTCTCAGCAGTGGCAAATGACAGAACAAGGAGCAACTGTCTCAAGTTGCAGCAAGGGAAGTTATGTTGGATACTAGGAAAAAGTTGCCTCACCAGGAGGGTAGTAAAGCACTGGAACAGGTTACCCAGAAAAGTTGTGTATCTCCATCCTTGGAGATTTTTAAGATCTGGCTAGACAAAGCCTTGTCTGTGATGATCTAGTTGGGGCTGGTCTTGTTTTGAGCAGGGGGTTGGACTAGATGACCTCCTGAGGTCCCTTCCAACCTTAATTTTCTATGATTTGAAGACAACAGTAGGGCTGCAGCCTCTGGCAGTTACCACAATACATGTAACACGGCACCAAGCCACAAGGTTTAGGTTTGGCTCAGGCTTTTCCCTCTGTTTAGGTTTACTTGGCTTGGTCTACTACAGACCTACACCTGAAGCCAACCCTTCAGTTCAAATCCACATTTGAACATGATCCACATCTGGACCAGGGGTTACAATATGGGCTAGTCTCTGTAAACATTCATTATTAAAGGTAAGGTTTATCAAAATACCAGGTGCATTACCTAATTGGTATAGGTTGCTATGTTAGATGCCAGCGTGGAAACTCTTGAGATAAATCAAACCTAAATGAGACAAGGCATGAGCAAATAGACCAAAGGCAATAAGTTGTCTTTGGCAAGCTGAGCAAAGAAAGCTAGAAGTCACGGTTCTGGGATTAGAAGCCAGGAAGCTCTCAGTTACGTTTCTCACTGTACAGCTCATCACACCCCTCCCAACCATCATATTGGTGAGAAGCAATGGAATTATCAACTACAAGGGAGAGACATGTATGACTTTTTCATTGGCTGAGCAATAGCTTTCAAATTCCCTCCAAAATATAAGAATGACTTTGAATTGATGCTTTTCGGACAAAATGACCCTACTAAAATAATAAATCAAGGTATTAATACACACTACTTTGTGTGTCGTAATACAAAACAGTAGAAATCAAACAGATTTTCTGCTTTTGGCTTTGTCCAACATATAAGGGGAGTAGCGACATTATAAACACATAGTAGATAAAATTCTGGGAAATTGTTAGCTTTTCTCCCTGTCTCCATTTTCTTCTTTAAATAAACTTTTTGCTGGATAATCATTGGTACAGGCAAAAGTGAAAAAAGCTTCCAAGGTGTCTCTCCCTAACACTATAAAACTTTGTAGGAAGGAAACACATGTGCTCCACATTGCTGGAAAGCATTTGGAGCAAAAGCTTGAGGTCTTTTTTAAGAATGGCTCCAAATCTGTTCCTGTGATTTAGGATTAGAGAAGGATGGCTCTATTCAAAGCAGACTGTTTTTTCCCCAAGATGCTAGAAAGTGCACCTACAGGCTATACATTTTGAGCCAAATTACTACTTTACAATGGGCCTTTCTTCTTTTTCAAGTTTATTAATGCCCCTTTACTAAGGGGTTTCATTTCGCATGACCCAGAAATAACCTCAGGGCATATGGACCCTTTCCCTGCTGATCAAAGTAGCCCTCCTGAAGGCTCTATAATCCTTAACTCCCCTGGGAACTGTGGGGGAGGTGTTGGGGGGGGGGGGGGGGCTTTTATACTGAGTACTTTGTCTTCCAGTGGCCAGTCCTGACAGCCCAGTCATGAAACTGTACATCACAGAAAGTTCAAAGATGAAGACAATGGCTGGCATGTTCAAAGGGCTCAATTCCATGTATCTGTAGGAACATATGAGTGGAAGGAGCCAAACAATAAAAATGAGACCAATTCCTAAACTGCGGGCTCCTCAGGAAAGGACACTGGCAACCCACACGTCCCCACGGCACCCTCCACAGTGACACCCTCGCACTAACAGGAACCTCTCAGTGGTCCTAGCTCCGAGCAGAGGCTTTGATGACAAAGACACTCACTAATTCTGTGGACTCAGTAAGGTCTGAATCAGGGGAAAACTCACAGCAATCACCTACTGCTTTTCAAAAGAGAGAATTTAGTTCAAAGACATGCAGAGATGAGATGGCCTCATTAGATATTTTTTCTTTTGTATACACTCATTACAATTTGCTGCCAAAAATTGTTCCTATACCTTTTAGTTTACTTTACAGGTTGCTGGTTTAGACATATTTGAGCTATGCTTTGTTTCAGAAAAACACGAATCTATAACAGATTCCAAGTCCACCTGATTCTGCTTCATGTAACTGTGTCCCGTTTTTTAAAGAGACCATATGTAACATATATTAATAGGAAGATTCAAATCCAATGTACATTAAACCTCAGATTTGTTGAATCTGGCAGTCAAACTGCAGAACATTTGTTCCTAATTTAACATATATACACAGTTTTGGACACATCAAAGTCTATCAAAAATCTGTCAGAATAAACTGCTTTCATTAATCAAACATTACCAGAATACAAAGCCATGGTGTGCAGATCACCTTGTGTCTGCAACAGTCTAAGAAGTATCAGTGTGACAGTGTCCAAGGTATGAACCTAGACATTATTTCTCTCTACAGCTAACAACTGTTTTCTTACAGCCCCACTTGAGTTCTCCCATATGCTGCATGTACTGCTTTTGAACCTTTCTGCTGTCAGTCGTAATGATATTTTCCCATTCTCCACTAATGAAAAGTCTGCAATTTCAGTTGTTATCACGACTGCTCCACATCTTGTATTTACTTTTATTTAGCCCTAGGCTGGATTTCCTATGGGGCCAGGCGCCGATAAGGGAAAACCCTGGTCACTCGGTACTTTATTAACACGGGAGAAAAGCAAAAGATCTCATGAAAATTCCACAGGGAAAATGTTGAAGCAGCAATCCTTAACGAAGAAAGAAATGGCCCAAACAAATCTAGAAACTCAGAGTCAGCACAGCCAGCCAAAATATTCTTGGGTTAATATGCTAAATGCTTCTGCAGAGGGTACCAGTCTGACGTGTAACACAGATAAACGTTCAAGCAGGAA